TGTTACCTTTCATAGTATCTATTGTATTTATCTAATTTTATTTACTCTTTCAGGTTCTCACGTGAGACAATATAATGTTTACATATGCAGGTCTGATTTATTTCACTTATCAGTACAGTCTTTAGTTGCCTCCATTTATATATAAAAGCCTCAAATGTATTTTTTTTAGAACAGAGTAATGTCCAATTGTGTAACAATCATAAAAATTGTATCAATATAGTACATCTTTTTATCCATTGTTTAGTTGGTGCACATTTGGGCTGTTTCCAAGATCAAGCTATAACTAGTTGTGTCGCTATAAACATGGGTGCACATATATTGCTGTGGTATGATGATTTCATTTCTTTTGGAAAAATATCTAGGAAGGGAATTGCTGGCTTGAATGGGACCTCCAATCCTAGCTTTTTGAAGAATCTCCATAGTGATTTCCATAATGGTTATACCAGTCTTCATTTTCACCAACAGTGGAGAAGGATTCCTTTTACCCCACAGCCTCTCCAGCATTTGCTTTTTGGTTGACTTCTTGATGATAGCCATTCTTTCTGGCATAAGATGGAATCTCAGCATTTTCATTTGTGTCTCTTGAATGCCCAATGATGTTGGATATTTTTTCATGCATTTATTTGTCATTTGTATTTCTTCCTCTGAGAAGTGTGTGTTCAGTTCAGATACCCAATTTTGGATTGGGTCTTTGATTTTCAGAGGCCTGATTTTTTTTAATTATATGTTATAGATAGGAGTCCTTTGTCTGAGGGACAGTCTGTATATTTTTTTTTTCTCAATTTGTGGGTTTTCCTTTTACTTTGTCGGTGATTTCTTTTGATGTGCAAAAACTTTTCAAAAAGATTAAATCCCAATTTCTTATTCTTTGAAGTATTTTCCATGCAGTTTCATTTTTGTTGATGAATTCTCTACCTACCCATATTTCTTTAAGATTTCTACTAACTTTCTCCTCCAGTAGATTTAGCATTTCAGTTTTAATGTTTAAGTCTTTGATCCATTTTGACTGGTGATAGGCATGGGCCTATTTTCAGCCTTTGGCATGTGGAAAGCCAGTTTTTCCAGCACCATTTGTAAAAGAGGTTATGTTTCTTCTAGTGAACGGATTTGGTCCCTTTGTCAAAGATAAGGTGGCTGAGTGTGTTTGTAATTGTGTCTATATCTTCTAATCTGTTCTATTGATCCTCAGGTCTTTTTTTTTTTTTTTGTGAGTACACAGTAGCTGTGTAGTCTAATTTCAAGTCAGGAGTCATGATGCCTCCTGTCTTGCCTTTGTCCACCAGAATTGCCTTTGCTCTTCTAGGTGTCTTCTGGATCCAGATGAATTTTAGATATGTCCTTTCTAGATGTGTGAGGTATGGTGATGGTATTTTGATCAGGATCAAGTGAAATCTGTATAAGAATTTTGGGAGTAGGACCATTTTGCTCAATATTTGTTTTTCTTATCAAGGAGCAAGGAGAGGTGGAAAATTATGAGGTTTTCCTTAAAGTTTGCTACTTTATATCTGCAGGAGAAGGATCTGGAGAGAGCTGCCGTCACCAAGGAAATGCCAACATTTTTTCTTTTCTTTTCTTTTTCTTTTTTCTTTTCTCTTTTTTCTTTCTTTTTGTCTTTTTTCTTTTTTTTTTTTTTGAGTACCAGGGATTGAACTCAGGACCTTGCGCTTTCCAGGCAAGCGCTTATTCTACTGAGCTATCTCCCTGGCCCCAACTTGTATTCAAT